CTTCTACTCAATTTATTAAAATTATTCTTGCAACAGTTAATTAACATGTAAGTCTATGGAAATTTCACTAATGATGACTCACTTATGGCCAACCACTGTACAGGTGATTGTGAGGAGTCCTCTGTAGTCTGTGTCACAGTCCCCTGAACCACAATATTATTTTCCTACTGCCTTGTCCTTTCTGCAATGCTAAAACCCTGCGTGTGCAAATGAAGCAAGTCTAGATTTCCTCAGGTTCTGGTTTCCCCGGGTCTCCTTTTCAATTTATAATGCGTTTGTTTGTTGATATAAAAAAATTATATTCAGAGACTAAGCGATTGTCTAGGTGAGGATCAAGAAACAACATGAGATACGAGACCTCACAATCGCGATCAAGTTACTAGCAAACAGTTTCTTCCAGTTGCGAAATCTTGAAATAGATTGTGTCATGGGACAGGCATCGCCTTTGATACAATTGTACATGCTGCTGTTTTCAACAAAATACTCCGATTACGATACATACCCTGCATTTTCCATAGCTTTGTGCTGCCAAGTCACCTCGTGTAGTGCGTGAAAACTGTAGCAAACGGGATCCGATTTGACACAAAACGTGAACGGGCCTTCGTGTGAAACATGAATTCAATTTATTTACAGATTATTACATTGTTATTTTGATTGAAGAATCAAATGTTTTAAGTATTTAAACGTGTTCTTGGTGGCATATTGGTCTTGTCTGTCAGGTCCCACAATATCTACAGACATTATTGAATTATTAGCTAAGTGCTCATTTCGACGTTGCCGCTTTTGAACTTTCACGTTTTTGACGCACAGGAGCATGAAGGCAAATCGCCGAAAGGTACTGCGAGCGAAACAGTGATGTTATGGCGAACACTTAACGATGTGTATATTTGAAAAAACTGTACAAAACCTAATAGCATGTATCTAGACAATAATTTCTCCATTGTTTATTACTGAACATATATCCAGGTGTTAGAGAATTTTAGAGAAAACACCGTGTCGCCGAAAGGTCGCAGACGTTATATACATGATATTTTTGTTTTTTCAATAACAGCATTGAATTTTTATAAAAATACAAACGAAGCACACCCGAAGGTCCTGAGACGACCCTCTATCCAACCATCCACTTTGGGCTAGCTATTAAGGAAAATGAGCATAGTTGTGACATGCAGATATTTAGGCGACAGAAATATATCCTTAGGGCGACAGCTGTCGCCTAAAGGTCGACATTGTCTCAAGTTAGAAACGAGTTAACGAAGTAGTTTAGAATGGAAAAATCATCATATCCGTAACTAATGATTAATGAATGGACCAAATACATTCTCATATACAACGTATATATGTGTGTATGCGAGTATGTGTTGGTGGCTGTTCAAAACTCAAATATTTATATTAAGAGTCGCTTCCTGTCACTCTCACTGACACACTGAAAACTGATTTGGGTGGTGTCCCTATAGAAATAGCCTGGAGAAGCCTGGGTGGAACATTTGGTATCCAGGTGACTACTAGTATCTCATGAAGTAACAAGAGTCGCTCCCTACCCCTTCTCCAATTGTAAATGGGTACCCTACATTGTGGGGGAATGTATGCAAAGCGCCACTATAGAATTATCTTGAAATTTGAAAGCCTGGCATTTTTCTCATCGAAATACTTTAAAATAAGGGTTGGAAATAGTTAGTGTATTATTTTCTTCCTAATCCATTTGCCAGTATAATGAAGTAAAAAGAGTCGCTCCCTACCCGATCTTCAAATGTACGTGGGTACCCTATAGCTACATCGTGGGGGATCGCTGTGGAACTTCACACTGCGTCAGTTTCATTTATGAATTGCAGGGATTGGGTGTATTCTTGTTTGTAACATCAGTCAGTTTAACCGTTGCGACATGTAATTTAAATTTGAATCCCTGAAAGATGGAATTCCTGTCTGTGACGGACTATTTAAAAGGTATTTCATTTATATTTAAGACCCCATGCCTGTTCGTTTCTGTTGTGCGTTCGTTGGCCCAAAACTGGTTCCTGGTGTCAAGTACGCCTTTTCTGTGCCTAAAGAACCCGATTTTCGTTGGTCAGATGTTCGTGAGCTCATACATATGTCTGGAGACAAAGGTACAAGGCAGTATCCAGGAGACGGTTCCCTTTGGGGAGGACCAATCATGGTATGTGGATTTATTTCCTTTGGTTGCAAGATGGACCTTATTACCATTCTGAAGGAAAGTAAGAATTCGCAAGACATTTTTCTCAATTCCGCGAACAAGATGTTCACATATTACGGACAGTTAAGTAATGTTTTTGCATGACATGACGTCCTTTTCCAAATCTGTACCATCTTCAAATACACCCGTGGTGGTAATGTTGGCTATGTTTCTCCTCAACCCTTTTTTGTCAATACAAAATTCATATGGTATGGAAATCTTTGACACATTTTATGCACCAGTTCATTAAAGTTTATTAGTCTGAGAAAATATGGGTGTCACTAAATTAACTTCCATATTTATACACTGAGTACAATTCCTACATTGACGTAACTACAGATACTGTTCCCGACGATGGGGTATCAGAACAAAATTGAGCCTAGCATATTTTGTTGAGCTTGTGTGTGATGAGTTTTCGTTCCCAATTTGGCAAATAATTTTACAGGTAACGTACATGAAACACAGTAGGCTTATCTCCAAATTAGACCACCGGGAAGAAGCTGAACTGCCTACAAACGTACTGCAAGTGATTCCCTGGCATTTGATTTGCTAACCTAGCAATTCAATATTGAATTCGTGGATGCCTCCACAAACAAAACAAACAAACACTTGTTTCTGATTTGCTCAAAATAAGACCTGTGTTGCATTATCTCGTCGCGTGATGTCACTGATGTCGTCATGAAAACCACGAATTTACCCAGCATCGGAGAACGTCATAGCGATGTCGATAACCTGACGTAACTAGAAAGTTCTATTCAGCGCAACCGTAGTTTAAAGAAAACGAAATGAAAATATGGTAATTATAACCGACAGCAGTAGCATGTATACTATTTTGCAGTTACCTTGTTCGAGGATTGTATATATGAAAAGGATCAATATCCTAGACGTCGGCAATTGTACTAAGAAACTTTCGATGTCACGTGTCTTTGCAACAATCTGGTTTTAAAATAAATACGAGTGTCCCATAGTATTATTCCCCCGTTTCTCTGCTGAAATGATCACGCTAATTCAGGTGGGTCAACTGATTGGTCAGCTGTGGAAGCACACTCGCCAACTATCTTTATAACGTCCACAGTTCTTCAACAGATTTATTTAGATAACAATGAGCAATCAATCAACATATTATCTATATATATTAATTTTTTGAAACATCTTTCCTTTTGTTGTGACACCTGTTATCACCCATCTGTTGCTGCGCTGCCATGTTCATGTCGCTTAACATATAATATATTCACCACATCAGATCTGGAATCATAAGCCAAATAGGAATATTTGTCAGACAGAGTGGTGCTTCCAGTAATAACACTGTAATACATTACTAAACTGATCATCAAATTCATGACGATAAATACACAGGGAATGGAAATTTTTGTGTCATTTTGCAATTAAGCCGCCTGAAAAATTAAAGTCGATGGTGTTTTGAGTATATGTCATTTTGAACAGAAGGTCATTGTTTATATTTTCATTCAACTGTAAAGCACATAGTAGTAGATCCACATTAATGGTTTAGTTTTATTATGCCCAGTCAAAATAAAACTTTGTAGGAATTTAGGATGGTGGTCCGTCCGTAATGTTTCGCCCCGTACACACATAAGACATGTCACTAAACTGGTACAGGTATACACAACAGTGTTCCGATGTACGTATAGATGTTGCATGATAGTATATTTTTGTTTGCGCGTTGTTACAGGTACACGCTTCAGAGTGATTGAATTTAGTTCCATGCAGCCTTTAGCAATATTCCAGCAACATCACGACGGCGGACACCAGAAACGGGCTTGTGGCCACACGTTGATATTGGACACCATACATTAACGAAACTGGACCAGTCTGTCCAATATATACACATGGTGAAAAGTATCGCATCACGCGACATATTAACCCTAAGCAAACATTGGGCCTCCTTAACTAATAACTGCTAAAAGATGGCAAGTTATTGGAATGCTTGCATGTCATTGAGGACTATTGCAAGAGATGCTGGTTGTCATCCATCGACTTTCAGGCAGGAGAACATCAGCACACTAATGACGTTAAGGACGTTGAGTTTTCAGGTCGACCACGAGTGATGTCTCCTGAGCAGGATACAACCCTTCTCAGAATCACAAGACTTACATTGTAACCTGTTCATGTCAAGTGGTGTGTTAAAACCAGAATGGTTTCTACATCGTCGTTTGTCCAACAGGCCGGTCCGAAATGGTTGAAGATCCACCAAGTAAAGACCTATCACATGTCCGCTGTGTCAAGCTCAAAGTCACTGTGCTCCGTTCCTCAAAGCGATCGTAGCGCTACGACAGTCGTAAGTCTATGTTAAAGTATGAAAGTTACGGGCATCCTAATGCTACGATAGCTTTGTGGAACGGGACCCAGGGCCTAGATTTTCGAAGCTCTCTAAGCGCTAAGATAGTCGTAAGTTAATGTTAATGTATGGCACTTACGACTATCGTAGCGCTAAGAGAGCTTCGAAAATCTAGGCCCTGGAATGTTACGTCATGGTGAAGGCTCCACTAGTCGACGAAAGTCGATTTCTTCATGACTGACGTTAACAAGTGTTAACAAGACGTTTCAAGATTCTGGCATGCAATCCTTCAAGATGTAACACAAGTACCAATAACCAAGCTCGCTGTTCTTGCAGCTGGCGAACGTTACACCAGATATTGACAGTTTGTTCGGTTATCGATAGTAATGGAATATCTTGAGGATTGCACTACAAAATGAGTGAATGTTTTGTTGCCGTGGGAGATTTACATAAGCTAGTTTCGTTTGTTTAAGGTTACGTAAATATTTTAAAACCACGCACTATCAATATTTTCAGCCCGCACTGTGTCGGATGTTGTTGGGGTTGGGACGGCGTCGGTAGCAACATCTGCAGCCAATGAAAATCTGTCTACGCTGTCCTTGCAAGGTGAGAGATAACACTGGATGCGTGTCCTATCTGCTAGCAATACTTTAAACGATTTTAAACGAGCAACCTTTAAAAAGAGACGTGTAGACCCTCTTGTCCCCTTTGACACCTTAAGTCACAATGTGTGTCAGTAAGTGAGTGAGTAAGTTTAGTTTTACGCCGCCTTTAGCAATATTCGAGCAAGATCACTTCGGGGGACACCAGAAATGGGTTTCTCACATTGTACACAATGTGGGGAATCGAATCCGGGTCATCGGCTACCCCACCGCCTTGTGTCGGTAAGAGGTGAGTTACGGGTGGCATCGTTGATAATGGTCAGTTAATCTCAGTTGTATTGATCGATAGACAAAACGTTTATTCCTAGATTCGATTACCCACAGACCGTCGTCGTACAACCGGAATAACGTTCGGTACAGGTCTATATAGACTAAAAACTAGTCTCTGAAATGAACATATTTTACTGAAAAAAGTTCATAGTAAAAAAAAAAAATATATAATGAAAAGGAGCCCTGAGACTTTCTTCAATTTCAAGCTGAAAAGGCGTTTGTGATTATGGGGAAGTGAAGCACTGGTCTCGTATCTGACGGCGAAGCGCCTTAATCAAACATTCGTCCTTCGTAATATTGATATGTTATTGGCTAATGTTGGGTCTCCGTGAACAACGTCCCTGAAACTACAATAACTGGACTCCAATGTTATTGAAACTGCAATAACTGACTTTTAGGAATGTAACATGTGTTATATTTGCGTCACTTATATTGCTGTTGTAGTCAGGCGATGTTTTATATCAAGAAAAGAACGACTTTGACTCTGACCTAGACTAACAACTAGTCTCTGAAATGAACATATTTTACTGAAAAATGTTCATAGCAAAAAAAAAATATATATAATGAAAAGGAGCCCTGAGACTTTCTTCATTTTCAAGCTGAGGAAATCTAGACTTGCCACATTTTCTAGACTTGTGTGGGATTTCTTGGATATATTTGCTTCAGGGTCTGTACGACAGACTAAGGTCTATACAACAAACAGAGGACCGTAACCTCGGGTAACAATGGTGTTGTATTCGAGCCGACAAGATCGATCTTGCCGTCATATTCCATGCAATGTATTTTAGCCCGTTGTTCTCCACCGTGATATCGCAGTGTGATACGCTCCTCATAATATCGGTCACTCGCTTGTCTGGCCCTAACTTCATATTGACAGGTCTCTTTGCAGTTGCAATATTAATGGTGGAGGCTTCAAAAGACAAAAAAACAACAACAAACAAGACATAACAACAAAAAACAATCTCCTCAACACACATCGAAGGGGTAATTAGCCCAGTAGTTACTTCATCTAAGCAGTCACTTCGGTGACCAGGCGCTCTAATCCTGCATTTCTGGTGTTCCCCGCCGTGATGTTGCTGGAATATTGCTAAAAGCGGCGTAAAACCAAACTCAGTCCGTCAGTCAGTCTAATCCTGACACAGAAAGATGGTTGACACACAAGACAGCGTCATATCGCCCTCGCTTGTGAGCGTTATTAGTTCCTCGTGTCCGGCTCCAGAGCGTCGCGGTATAACGAGGCAGGCTGCCGCACGGTACAGTAATGGATTACAGGCCGGGTTGTCACAGTACCTGAAGCCTCACGGACGCGGAGGTACACCTGACTATTTCTCCAGGTAGGCACATCACTTTGGGTATCATTTTCTCAAAACGTGCGTTACTTTAGTGTTGTGGCTACTACGCATGTCCTCAGTGTTAGTAATTCGTTGTTAATATGTAAATGGACGTTTTTTTAAAGACTTGTCCACACCTTCATACGGGTCTATATTTCTACCAAAAGACTTGTCGTTTTTCAATCACATGGATATTTGCTTATGAGCATGATTCAACATTTGATCAGAGTGCTCAGAATCGTTTCATGAAAAATATTGAGGATAAGAAATCTTATCTCAACCAATTGAGACAAAACCTGTCTCGCGTCACAGCAGTCTCTAAATCCGCGTCACGAGGGTCCTCAGCGTCTTTGTATGATGTTTGGCCTTGCTAACTGTTGTGTGTTAATGTCCAGATGGGGTAGCCGTCGCCCATGTCGAAACCCAGGGCTCGGTGCCAACTTTGGTGTGTTGAGTCCAGTTTTCTCTGCCCTACCTTACGATACTGATTACAACTTATGCTCAATATTACCAGTCAATAGTCGGCAATATCATGTTGAAATAGGTATTCCAATAAGCATATAGAGTATCTCATCATACAATACTTTAGTTACCTTGATAGAGGCGGCTAACGGGATCGGTCAGTCTCTCTGGTTTGGCTGATTCATGTAACCGTGTCCCAGTTGCGTAGATCGACGTTCTTGAAGTCAGTGGATTGTCTGGTCCAGACTCGATTATATACAAACTGCCGTCATATTGCTGAGTGAGGCGTTAAAAAGAAACAAACTTACCTTGATGCACATAAGATAATTGATGGAAAACGTGTTATAGTAATACCGGCATGACTATATGGATGGCAGTATCTTCAATCGATAATCACTACTAAGGATTCCGGTGTAGAAGCGTTCTCCAGCAACCTTTCCTGGTGTGCTAGGACATTGGGCTGAATGTGTGTCCCCGATTGAGAAGGGCGTTGTTCCTATACGAATCACTAGATTGATCAATACTTGATTTACATAAACATGCACCTGGAATATTGCTGGGTGCGGCGACGTTCAACAAACAATCAAACAAACATACATGTATATCGCCAAAGGTGTTTGTGTCTCTACACGGCCTTACGAGTGTGACTGTCATAGGGCTCTGTAGTTGATAGCATGACATATAAATATGTTTAGTGTTATCTCCAGCTGATAGCACCATACATACGTTATATCTCCTTGATAGCATGATATATATGAATATGTTTAGTATTATCTCCAGCTGATAGCACAATACATACGTTATATCTCCTTGATAGCATGATATATATGAATATGATTAGTATTATCTCCAGCTGATAGCACAATACATACGTTATATCTCCTTGATAGCATGATATATATGAATATGTTTAGTGTTATCTCAAGCTGATAGCACAATACATACGTTATATCTCCTTGATAGCATGATATATATGAATATGTTTAGTATTATCTCCAGCTGATAGCACAATACATACGTTATATCTCCTTGATAGCATGATATATAAATATGTTTATTGTTATCTCCAGCTGATATCACAATACATACGTTATATCTCCTTGATAGCATGATATATAAATATGTTTGTTGTTATCTCTAGCTGATAGCACAATATATACGTTATATCTCCTTGATAGCATGAGATATATGAATATGTTTAGTGCTATCTCCAGCTGATAGCACAATACCTACGTTATATCTCCTTGATAACATGATATATATGAATATGTTTAGTGCTATCTCCAGCTGATAGCACAATACATACGTTATATCTCCTTGATAGCATTATATATATGAATATGTTTAGTTACTGTATTATCTCTAGCTGATAGCACAATACATACGTTATAACTCCTTGATAACATGATATATATAAATATGTTTAGTTACTGTATTATCTCCAGCTGATAGCACAATACATACGTTATATCTCCTTGATAACATGATATATATAATAATATGTTTATTGTTATCTCCAGCTGATGGCACAATACATACGTTATATCTCCTTGATAACATGATATATATGAATATGTTTAGTGCTATCTCCAGCTGATAGCACAATCCATACGTTATATCTCCTTGATAACATGATATATATGAATATGTGTAGTGTTATCTCCAGCTGATAGCACAATCCATACGTTATATCTCCTTGATAACATGATATATATAAATATGTTTATTGTTATCTCCAACTGATAGCACAATACATACGTTATATCTCCTTGATAACATGATATATATGAATATGTTTAGTGCTATCTCCAACTGATAGCACAATACATACGTTATATCTCCTTGATAACATGATATATATGAATATGTTTAGTGCTATCTCCAGCTGATAGCACAATACATACGTTATATCTCCTTGATAACATGATATATACGAATATGTTTAGTGCTATCTCCAGCTGATAGCACAATACATACGTTATATCTCCTTGATAACATGATATATATGAATATGTTTAGTTACTGTATTATCTCTAGCTGAAAGCACAATACATACGTTATATCTCCTTGATAGCATGATATATATGAATATGTTTAGTGCTATCTCCAGCTGATAGCATGATATATATGAATATGTTTAGTGCTATCTCCAGCTGATAGCACAATACATACGTTATGTCTCCTTGATAGCATTATATATACATTAACACTAATTCATAGAATGATATGTATATTATATCTAGCTGATAGCCTGATATATACGTCTGTCGTAGTTGATATCAGGATATCTACATTATACCTTGTTGTTTGCATAATATCTAAATTATACCTTGTTCATTGTGTGATAATATAAATATAATATATCATATGTTTTTTACAATGATATATATTTAGCATACCCAGTTGACAGCGCGATTACTACACTAAACCGATTGACAGCGTGATATATACAGTACATTTACATGTAGTTGATAGTATGATATAGCAATCGTAGTCGATACCAAAATATTACGTCCAGTTACTAGCATAATAGTTGATAGCATGACATATACATTTTGCTGAGTTTATAGCATGATATAACTCGTAGACATTTGATAACTTGGTACATACTCATACCTAGCTCAGTGTTATATATACACAAGGCCTTTTTAATATCTCCAAATCAAATCAAGAGTTAGTAGTAACCTGTTGTAAGTTTGCTGGACGAAACAGATCTTATGTGAGATGTAATATTCAACTATAACGTCACCAAGACGACATCACAGTCACTGACATTCATGTTGGCCGTGTTGGGGACGGTCATGAAGGATGGGTTCATACCTGAAGCCCTCCGGCGACAGGCAGGATCGTGTGATTTATCATGTAGGATGTATCTGGTGTA